TAAAAGAGGGAAAAAACCAAGAAGCACGCAATCTTTAGTTTTAACCCATTTGTACATCTATCTTTTAGAGTCAAATACGTCAAATTTTGAGCGTTTAGTTGCGTATGTAGACCTCGCTGCAGCACAATAAAAGCACAAAATGTAAAATAAAAAATTAAAGTGCCTTGGAAATCATTAAATTTGACACGGAACCACCAATATTTAAAAAAACATACATCATATTATTATTCTCCTTTGATAAGTTGATACATATTTTTCCCATCAATTTGAATGAGAATAATCTATGCACAGTGTGCAAACATTTCAAAATCATGAGTTAAAAAACGCTGACTATGCGAGTTTAAATATTAAAGCCTAACAGAGCGGAGCGGCGTGCTGCGCGAGAGGCTCGCTGGCGCCTACAAACCTAAGTGGATACTTCACGCATTGCACAATGCTTGAAGTATCCACTTAGGTTTGTAGGCGCTAATGCGCGTTTCGCGCTGGCCGCCCGCCCGCCGTGCGGCGGCGCCTGAAGCAACTATTTCACAACAGAGGTATTACACAGTATTATACGAAATTGAACATATTACAGGCATCCTTTAAAAGTACAGATCTTTCCTCGCAAAATAAATCAAGATACTTATCGTACACAGGAAAAATCTAAGAGCCTTTAGCTGAGGCAAATATAGAGGTTTATCCGGTTCAGGTATAATCAGGTGGGAATTTCTTGATAGATAATTAAGTCCTGTTACACCAAAGAGGTGTAGAGAGTTTTAGTGAATTTTGTCTCATGGAATTGACGCTCCCCCATTTTTACCAAAACTCTCAACTATATATTATTCTCCGTTGGACCAAACAGACAAAACAAAAAACAAGCAAGCCCTCATTCTTCCAAGAGATTATATATTTTCATCCAAAAACGTCGTGAGCAATTGTCGTTTGTATTTACATGTGGGCCAATTAACTTTGGGTCTCAACTGGCACGTGGACCAAAACTCCCGTGCCGAAAAAACGCGTGGACGTGAATAACTGGAAAAACAGGTGCGCGGACAAAAAATCGTTGACGAAATGTCCTATAACCTTTGACAATATTGAAATTTTTATATATTGGTAAATTTCGAGATTTTCCGATGCTATCTCTATACTACATGTTGTTGTACAAACATTTAACAGCAGGTAAGGTCAATAAAGGAACAAGAAATGGGAGGAAAAAATCCTCAAAATTTCTTATCGTGTACAATGATCCTTCAATACCTGTTTCAGGCGTTTGTGCATGTTTCCACTGCGTTCAGTCAATGCCATCGGGAAACGGAGTGTGTAACGGAAAATTTCTATCCTAGTCCTTATACCGAGGCAGAAATAGAGGCACTCCTACGGTCTGCTGATGATTACACCATAGCTTGTCTTACTAGTCAGTGAGTCCGTATGCATTCTCATCATAGCAGCTGGAAAACGAAAATTCATACGGAGTACCTAGAAAGTGCCTTAGAACGTAGAAACTTTTTTTTTGTGGGGGGGGAGGGGGAAAAAGAGGCACCTATTCAAGGGAAATTTGGGAGGCAGAGAAACGACACGTCACACCATTGCTGTCATGCTAAGAAAGAACGCCGTATGGGCCTTCAGACGTTTCCAAGTTTCCTTCGATAAAACCCGAATTTCCTGAGAAAATTTGAATATTTTTCCTCAAAATTTTCAGACTATTTTGTACGTAATTTAATCTAAAATACCTGACAATTTAAAAGAAAAATGTGCATAAATATCGTCAAAAATGCATGTCTTATCACGGAAAATTTGGCAACTCTCGAATGTTCATACGGCGTTTTTTCCTCAGCAAGGCAGATTGGGGATTTGAGGGACTCCTCCAGCTCCAGAGGAGCGTTCGGGTGGACTTGGTAAGCTTCAAGGGGTTTTAGGGGATTTTCTCGATGTTTGCTGTAACGATGTAAAATGATTGTACCTCTATGAAAAATATTTAAATTGCAAGCACTACGTTGTCGGTTTTTTTTTTTCATAGATTTTGCGTCATAACATACAGGTATACATTCTATTCGAGAATGCTTCACCGAGTTATGTTAAAACATGTTTAAATAAATGTATCAAACAACAACAACAACTTTTTCAGAAAATTTTCAGCAAGCACTTTGCAGGAGTTGTCTGATTTCAAAAAAGGGAAGCTTCATATTTCAAGCAGGTGAAAAATACCTATCCTGGTTTGTTTCCAATCAAATTGAAACAACAATTAAGTGATCCGAGAAAAATTATGCATGAATGACACATACTTCATTAAACAGAATTTTATACTATTATACTATTAAAATTGTTCTGTCTTTCAGGGTTTTAAACAAATCGCCAAACACGTATGTTTTGACGAAAGCTATGGCAGAGGATATGATTCGTAAAAGATTAGACTCACTGCCAATTGCAGTCTATCGACCGTCTATTGGTGAGTAATATTTCAAGAGCTCTATTGCTAGTAATTTTATTTGGTTATTTAAATGCTTGTTTCGTTTCCAGCCGTTCTCAAAATATATTAACCCAAAACACTAAAGCTTTTTGTTTGCTTTCAATCTAAAAAGCTATTCTATTGAACTTTCGGATTTGTTTTAATGTATAAACACATGATCTGTAGATTAGCTTCCAGCCTTTTTTTTAAATGTTATTTTATCATCAACGTTGCAAAAAGTTTCTCAGTTCATCTCAATAAAGCACTTAGATGTATGGTTTGATATTTTTCAACAGAGAAATTTTGCAACCTTCACAAGGAACAAAAACAAAATACTAAAGATAGCCGTCTAATTTACAAAATGAGAGGATTTACAGATGATTTCTCCCAGTTCCTGGCGTGCGATACACCGCATCGATCAAGTCTAAAATATCGGCAGCTTATGAATTTTTAGCCTGGAGGCACCTGCGCATGAGACTGAAATAGCATTCCCAACTGAAAAATTGGCAAAATTTAAGGAGATGGGAGCAGGATTCTATGTGGGGGGAAAAATCGCGTTTGATACAAAAGTCGACTACCGTATCGAATGCAAGGTATTTATCGAAAAAGAATCCTGCTTTCATTTCTCTGAATTTTGTCCAGTTTTTTTAGTTTAGAATGACACTTCTAGTTCATGAGGCGCAGAGGTTATTATCTTCTTTTGAGCTAAAAAATCAAAATCTACCAAGATTTTAGGCTTAATCGATGCGATATATCCCACGCTAGTTCGACCACGACGAATCACCTTAAAATAAATTCTAGGTACAGTGGTTGGGAGTTTTTGGAAATATTCACAGCCGTGCTAAGGTAGAACGCCGTATGAACATTCAAGAGTTGCCAAATTTCCCTTGATAAAACAAGTATTTTTGACAAAATTCATGCATATTTTTCCTTGAAATTTTCAGATTTTTTAGATTAAATTGCGTACAAAACTGTCCGAAAATCTCAGAAAATAATATTCCAAATTTTCCCAGTAATTTCGGGTTTTATCGGTAGAAATTTGGCAACGTCCAAAGGCTCATACGGCGTTCTTCCTTAGCACAGCATTATGGCTACACACCACTCATCTTTCGTGTACATCCGCGTGCTGGTTCAACTTTTCCTATTTTCCAGTAATCCGCGGTTTTCCTCTCTTTTATTCAGTGGCATGACGCGAATGATCGATTATCGTCATTTTTTCATCGGAACTTATGGTAAAGAATCGATTATTAAGGTGTTCGTGGCAAACATTCTGCTTATCGATCCTTTTCCATAGGTTTAAATGGCAGACCAATCGATGTATCGCAAAGCACGCCACGCCACTGATAACTTATACTTTATTTTCATCCAATATTGATGATTTTCAGTTATGAACACTAATGTGGAACCTGTCCATGGTTGGAGCTGCACCTTGCAGAGTGCAGGTGCTATGATGGCCGGCTTGGGTTTGGGGGTCTTGAGGATTCTGAGACGGATCCCTCATAAGCGTGCCGATATTATTCCGGTGGATAAGTGCGCGGCTGCCTTAGTTGCACTTCCATGGTACATTCATACAGCAAGGTGAGGAGAAACATTTTAATTACTAGGGAGCTACACCGCCTGGCCGTTGAGCGGCCCAACGCCCTTCCGGCGCTTCGCGCTTTTTAAGGCCAGCTTTGCGGACTCCTTTGTGGGCTGCACTAAAAGCGCGCAAAGAGGGGAAAATTTCGAAAAAAGGCATTGTAAGGAATGCGCGCAAAAATCATATTAATCGTGGCAAAGAAAGCGCGCAAGGAATGAGGTGTTGAAGTGCGTAAGTATGAGTCCTCCGGCAACTTCAGGCAGAGGCATATTATTTAAAACTTTCAAAATTACAAAAGAAGCAAGCGACTACACTGCCATGCTAAGCAAGAACGTCGTATAGATCCATCAAGATTTTCCCTCGTTTTTTAGAACTTACCTTTTTATAACATGAAAACTGTTTTACCCATGCACCTCAAATTTTCAAGTTAAGTTCTTGAATGTATTTGCGAAAGAATTCTGTAAAAATATTGTCCCAAGGTGCACAAGGTTTTCTGTTACGATACGTTGTTTCTAAAAAATTTAAAATGTCGTTTACGGCGTTTAAAGCAGACGATAAAATTCTCAAGATCATGGCTGCATACGTGATCCACAACCCCTCAAATCTCCTTGCATTCTTAGAGGATATCAAAACTGCATGCTTGCCCACTTCCGCTTAACCTTCCTCTTACGTAAGTTTTACACACATACGCATCATTCGCGCGCAATCCTTACTTACACGCTGCGCGCAATCCCATTCATTTTTTGTGCGCTTTCCTTACTTACTTTTTAGGGGCTTGCGAGCTTCTCTGGTTTACCGCCTTTGTGTCAATCTAAATAGAGCAGGCTCATCAAGGGACTTTTGGCCCTGGAGATCTTTAGATTGAACTGTGACAAAAAATGAAAATTTGCATTATATGAATGGGGG